AATTTTTTTTTTATTCAAAATTCTCCAATTAAATAAATGATAAGAAAAAAAAAAATACATGTCGGTAAAGGCCTATGAATTTAATGTGCAAGTTTTTTTAAATCAAATTGACACCAAAAACATATGTAATGTACTATATTTGGGAGCCCTGCCAAATTGATTTTCTCAACAACCTTTAAGAAAATTTAATATCATTACAAGTGACTCTTCCAATCCAGTTATCGAGAGCAAATATGAATGGGTGATGGAACCATGTTGACTGTACCCCTCCGCATCCGATTGGTGTAGAGTACTATTTATTTATTTATTTATTTTTAATAATAATAATAATAAATGAACATAATTCTCTTTGCACCAATTAGGAACAGAATGTACATACACTTGACCCTACGTTTAGTGTTTATATGTGGCATTTCTCATGACTGATATATTACTCCTACAATTAATTAATTGCTAACAATTTAGATTTAAGTTGAATTAACATAACTTAAATTTAAAGAGTTGAGATTTAATTAATAAGTAAGTTTATTTTAAAAAAAAACAATGATGAAATAATTTTTTATAAATTTTTAATTTTAATGTAAATGACTCTTAAACTAATAGAAATTAGTTTTTGGTAAAAAAGAAAAAAAAACTTAATCATTAAATTAAAAAAATTACAATTCGAGAAGTTATCAGGCCTATAAAAATTTTGACCAGATTTTAAGTTTGTAATGTATTTTTTTTACGATTACATAATTATAAAATATGTCATTAGAAGTTGAAGCATATTAACTTATATATCCAAAAATTTCTCTTGAACATTGGATGGTACATATTGCCACACGATATATCAAAGAAGACAACATCAATAATAGAATATGACAATACTTGATAATTTCCGGCTCGATGTTTAGAAATGTCATTTCATTTCTCTTTCAGTTTGACTTATTTCTCAACTATCGATTTTTCAAATGAAATAATTTGATAAAGAAAAACTCACAAAGATTATAACAAAAAAGTTGATAAAGTCTCAACCTTAGATGATTAAAATCAACGGCTGAAAAAGTGTCTAGAACTTAGAAGTCATATGTTAATCATGTGTTGGTGGATCCTATCACTCACTCATGCACACATATCCAAATCAAGAATTCTCCAATTTCCTTTATTTATGTCATTATCGCCCATCAAAATGAGCTTTTCAGTACTCAGATCCAGGGCAAACCCCTAAAAGGGCAAGAAATCTATGTTCAGCAGCGAGATATGTCTCTATTTCATTACATTATTTGAATTTATCATATGGTAAATCATGGTAATATATATTCTAGGGCTATATCATGAGTGTTCATTACGTATAATTCTGGCCACTCGTGTGAACTAGACTAAAGATTTATCAAGAACAATGTTGACCATAAGAAGTAGCTAGGTTCGGTGCTTGTGGGAATGTTTTTGCACTTTTTACTCTCAAGTCTCAATTCAACTTCCCAAGGACAGAAAATCATAATTTGAGTTCAAGATTAATGTGCAAACCTCTGCGCTAAATCATTATTTTTCGTGAACATTTTTGAACTTAAGAGAAATAATTCAGAGGAAAAGCTCTGTTGAGCACACATAAACCCTTAAATTTATAGAGAAAAACTTACAAAATAATTAGTTAAATTATTAATAGAAATGTATTTTTTCACTCATAAAATTAAACTTCCACCCTCGTTCTCTCTTCCCACTCCTCTTTATTATGAAGTTTTCAACCAGTTAATATATTTCATAAATAAAAAAGAAAGACGCTTTATTAAGTCTATATGTCAATATAATCTCAATCTTGTTGCCGTAGATTAATTAAGATCCAAAAAAGTTGTGGTGTCCAGCCAACCCCAACTCATTGCAAAAGAAATGGATCAATTATTCTATGAATCATGTTTTTCAAAACAATAAATAAATAAACAAATAAATCGTCTGCTTACACAGTGAATTCTTAACCCAAAACAACAGAAAAGTACCTAACTTTAGTTATGTTTTAAAATTTGAATCCTTAATTAGTCAAACTTTCCACATTTTTTATCTCTCTCCAAACTGTTTTAACAGATGGTTGAGGCAACAAATCCCCTATCCATGCCTTTTCTACTCTTTTTCTTTCAAAAGTATTTTTTCTTTACTGGCGCAAAGTAAATTCTGATAAACTTTCCTCGTCATGAAACCAAAATTAAAATTTTAAAGCTAGTAGGTATGGTAGTTGGTTTATCATCAATTTCTCCTTCTTCTTCTTTTTTATTTATTTCTTTTTTTTTTTAATGTAAATTGTATGGTAGGAGGGAACTCTTTTCTTTCATTTTTTGTATTGGATGTGGGGGGATTTAAGTGAATCTAAAAAACAGACATGTTAAAAACTCAATGCTTTGCCCATAGGCCTTTTCTTCTTTTGATTTGCTTCTTTTCGTGGATTGTGGTGGTGGCAATGATAAGAACATTGATATATCCATTATAAAGCTTCAATTGCAATCCTTCTTTTACTTTAATTTTACCACCTAATTAATCCATTCAATGAAAAAATTAAGGGGTTACATTTTTTCTTCAAATATTTAGAATATCGGATCAACTTATAGATTCACACTTCAAAATTAATTTTTTCTTAAACAATTTTAAATGTGCATATGCATCTCCTCCTCAATCTAGCGGAATAATTAAGGAAATTTGACCCTAAAACATGAGTTGGTCTGCAAGAGGAGTTAATTGCTCAATTCACACTAAGAAAAGCCCTATAACTAAGTGTCAATTTCTCAATCTTTTTGGGTAAATTATATAAAAAATGCATATATTGAACCTCCAAAAAAGGTTGGCTAAAAGAAAAAAAAACTTCCAAAAGCTTTACTCCAGATCACATTTTTCCTACTCTATGAGGTTAAAATTAATCCAAAGAGTGATAATGAAGTACTGTTCAAGCTCCTTTATTCTCCACCCAACAGAAAGAAAACTATCACCAATTTTTTTTTAAAACCTTTTTTTTATTATTTGTACTAATCTCCTTGTATCTGATAACCACGTTAGGTCCTGATTAATTCAAAATTGAGTCACGTTATACCTCATTTGAGGAGAAGCTCTCTTAATGCTTGTTTCTCCGTTTACAAGACTCAAACTCGAAATCATATTTAAAAGGAACGAGTTCCTTCCACTCGAACCAACAGGTTATTGGTTTTAAAAAACCTAATTTCTATACCTATTTAAAGATATCATGGGGAAACAAAGCACTAAATTTAGCAATATATGAGTTCCAAGTAAAGACCTTGGGCATTTTCCCCCTTCATTTCCATATACAAGATTGAACCTAGGCTTAACCAGACAGCACCACTTCCCTATGGAGCCAAGAGGAACCCTATCAAAGCCTACGTTTTGTTCAATGCTTTATTTCATAATTGCCCAATTGTTGGGAACATTTTATCTAATCCCAAATTCTACATATTGGAAATCCATGATGTAAATCAATAACAAGGTCTCTTTCTTGATATATATAAAAGTGGTAACAAACAAGGTTAAATGCATGTCAGCCTCTCTCAACTGCTCAAAACCTTTAAGCAAATAAATGGATTTGGTTTTTTGTTGTTAACTAGAGGGGATTTTGCCATCCAATATGAAAGGAACCTTTCAAAACTCAACCTAATTATTTGCCTCACATGGCTTTGAACTTGAAAGCAAAATGAACAATGCATGTTTCTAACATATAAAGTGACTGAATGAGGTTGACATCTCCTAAGTCATCAACAAAAACTTTAGTCTCAACCACTCTTTTGAAAAGGACCTTGGAGATCGGTGGAAGTGGAGCGATGATTTCAAAGCCATTAGTCTTGGTCTTGGTTGGAGGGAATATCTATTCCATGCTCAAACCATAATTATTATAAGGTATATAAGAGAGAATGAGATATACGTAGGAAGAGTAATGATTTTTGGAATCAAATTTTAGGGCGAAAATTTTTTAATTATTGATCATGTGAGCTCATATAGGACCAACATCATAAACAATGGTTACCATAAGTTCGTCTAATTTTTGTGCCAAGAATTGGTCCTAACTACCATTATTCATATAGGAATAGTTATTCCCAACATGTAAATTCAAAAATTGTGTGGATCAACTCCGAAAGAATACCGCCAGATGGGAATAGGTAACACTTAGTAAGAGGTGTTTTTAGATGTTCCCAAATTATTTCACATTGTAAGAAAAAAGAAGATAAAAGTAATTAAGCAATGGACATTCCTAAAATCTTAGAATCTCAGTAATTCATTGCATAATGTTTGAGCAAGAAATAGTTATTCCATCCAACCAAACCAAGCTGAAACTACTAAAGTGAACAACAACAACAACAACACTTGCTGAATATCGAGATAATTTGAAAGAATTAAATCGCAATAGGAAAAAGGGACTCTTCCTCCCATCCTCCTTTAATTCATGATATGAAATTTCTCGATCATGCTGCTCCAAATCGTAAAATGCCTATATTAACAAACAATATTTGAATTAACAATCAAATGGAGAGTATGTGTCTAAGAAACAACCCATTGATGTTAGCAGTTGGGACTTTCATACAATTAGGCCTTAATTGATCACATGCAACTAGGAAGTTTTCTTCTTTTCCTCCCATATCGCATGATAATAACTCCATCTCTCAGAAGGGAGACCCCAGCCTCTAACTCAATCCTCTTCAAGGTTCTACATGACAATTAGATTCAAGAACAAACTCCATCAATATATACTCGCACGTAACATCTTGTAGTATTTAGCATTAGGGGATAAAACTGGAAAAACGGGAGAAAAGAAAACAGAGATACAAAAACCAAAAATTGAATTAATGACCTCAGAAACAGATATATACATTTTTTTTCCTTTTTTTTGATAGGCAAAAACTGATATATACATTAAAACATCAACAACACAGAACACACATACACAGAAAAAAAAGTTTTGACAATCTAAAATCTCCTGGCGAAAGACTAGCATTCTTTCTTCACTCACGTGTTTGGAGCTCCACCTTAGTAAGGTCGAGGTGGATAAGGCCCAGGGGGGTAATGACCTGATTGAAAAGCAGAAGAATTGATTTTATGTACTTGTTTAGCTTGGATGGATAATAGCAATAAGAAATATTCAAATATGAAACAAAATTACCTGGAGGATAGTAGGGTGAAGATGGAGGATAGGATGGTGGGGGATAAGCTGAAGGTGCGGGAGGTGGAGGATAAACTGAAGGTGCAGGAGGTGGAGGATAAGCCACTGGCTGAGGAGGGTAAGGGGATGGTGGATATGCAGCATATGAAGGATATGGGGATGGAGAAGGGTAGGCAGTAGCTGGTGGATGATATGGAACTGATGCTGGTTGGGAATAAGAAGTTGTGGACACTGGTGGGGGATATGAAGCTGCAGATGCTGGTGGGGGATATGAAGCTAAAGATGCTGAAGGCGGATATGAAGCTGCAGATGCTGGAGGGGGATACGAAGCTGCAGATGCTGGTGGGGGTGCAGAGTGTAGAGAAACCTGAGATGCTACATATGGAGGAGCTGATGGAGTGGATACTGTGACAGCATGCTGCAACAACCCAAAAAAGGATGTGTTTATTAGTTAATGTAAAATTCCTTCCTTTATTTGGAGGGGGGAGTAAAGTGTATTAAATGAAGCACTTACATTGGCATTAGAATAATGCATTATAACTCGTATTTCCCCTGCATATCTACAACTCGAAAAAAGGAAATACACATCTCAGAGGAGGAGTAAATTCTGCTCAATATTACTTTCCTAGAATTACTGTTTGGGAATTGGGAATGTCAGTAAACCAGAGACAAGCATAATAACGTATACAAGTTCCACAAATTTCTTGTTTGATGAAATGTATAAATTTATATCCCTGTTACAAAATCTTTAAGGAAGCAAGTCTTTGATGTTAACTCAGATTAAACAAAGCATTAGCTAACTTATTTGTTTTTTTTTTTTTTTTTTTGGTAAAATGTGAATTTATTCCCAAAATCTATACAAAGAATGAAATAACTTCTAAACTAAAGTATGTTCAAACCTTAGCTGTACATAAAGTTTCTAATCCCCATAGTGCTGCAATTTTCCTTGACATAGGAGAAGACCTTTCCTTTACAGACCCCAGTACTTTGTCTCGGACATCCATTTGAATCATATCAATTATTGCAGAAGGAGATCTGTATAGCTGTCTATGTATCCTGCTGTTTCTTTCAATCCATATATGATATATTGATGCACACCAAGCTAATTTAAGAAGAGAGCTATACAATGCCTTATGTTTAACTCTCTTACATAACCAACCCAAAGCATCTTGCCAAATGCAGTTTAATGGGATTTCCAGCATAGAAGAAATCTTTTCCCAAATATGAGTAGTGTAGGGACAGGAGAAGAAGAGATGGTTCCTAGTTTCACTTGCATTCCCACATAGCACACAAGTGTCATCAATGGAAGAAGACCAATTCTTCTGCCTGGACCTGGTAGAGAGTCTATCTAATATAGCCAGCCAAGCAATAAAACTATGTTTGGGGATAGAATTTGAGTACCAAATGAGTCTAAACCAGGGTACCTTAGATCTTTTTTGCCTAAGGAAGTTCCAAGTAGCACCTGTTCGAAAAGAACCTGATGGAGAAGCCAACCAAACAACCTGATCCTCCATAGCCTGATTAGGATATAACATTCCACACAAAGCAATTTGAATCTGCAATAGTTCAGGGGACCTAGCAGGAGGCCATTTCCAATAATCCCCCTGGATTACATGAGACAATTTTGCTTGAGAGGGAATGGCTGCATCTCGTACAATTTTCTGCCCATATGCTTCAATAAGAGGTCCCTTGGGATGCCAAGAATCATACTAGAGGAAAATAGTGTCACCTTTACCAACTATATGCTTCACCAGAGGTCTAGCATATGATCTAATAATTTTAAGTTTGAGAAATGTGCTTGTTCGTTTATTTTCTTAAGAAATTCTGACGAATAATGGAAGAAAGAATGGCAAAGAAAGTTGTTTTTCAATATTTTCTAAGGCAATTGGGACTCAATAAGGCACAGATAGCAAGGTGAGGAAAGGATCCTGAGTGTATGACAATCATACAACCAGATAGAAGCAATCTTGAAGCCTAAGCCTAGTTTAGAAGTAAAATTTTCAGCAATTTCTACACTTTGAAGTGTCTGGTTACTCTGGTAGACCACTAGAATTCATAAACTGAAATTTTTTATATCAAAAAAGTTAACTTAAAACAATGAAATATGATATAGAAATTTTCATTTACCAAAAATCCTAACTGGAATAACTTATAATCACACCAGAGGTAACCAGACAAATGATTTTAGTATTGCAAAATAAGAAAGAAAATTTGAGATAAGCTCTTAGCTTCAATAACTTTGAATCAAACATTCATAACGATATAAATGTTAACATGTAAAGACTACAGCTAGCTTGTAGTGATATTATATTCTAATTATCTTTCTTTTATTTTTAAAAAGGTTTAATCTCTGTTGCAGAAAAATATATGGAAATTAACAAAAACCTCAAATGTTAAAGTAAGTCAACCATAGCCACTGGCAGACTAGACAACTTTGTGAAAGCAATAAATGTACAAAGTTTTTGGTGCAAGCTGTTGTTCCAGCAGACACCAACCATTCCGAAAGAGAGAAGTTCTTTACCAGCTTGTTTCTTTTCTAGGACTTCCAACAAAAATGCTATGCAAGATGTTATATCCTACACTTCTGCTTGAATGAGTAGACATAACATGAAAATAGAGAGAGATTAACGTTTAAAGCTATTAAGTTCTATTTTATTTGAAGTCCAACAGAAGACAAAGAAGAATGAAGAACATGAAGCTAATCTAGTATAAACAAGAACGACATCACAACACCTTATTGTAATATGTAAGAACATATTGCTGTGCACATCATAAAGATGAAACGTTGATTACCAGATAGTATACTAAAATTTGGCACAAATAAGAACTAGTATGTGAGCATAAACCCTTTAAGCCACTGAAATTCTAAACACTGAATTGTTGTTAAGAAAGGCGACCTATGTCTGTTTACCTGCCAGTTTTAGTTTGAAGTGGCCAAGTACTATCGTCATAACCCTGGGAAAGAACCTTTAGCAACTGAATCCTACACAGATTAAAACCCAACAAGAGCACCAAAATCAGAGTCAACCAGAAACCAAGAGCACCCCTGAAAGCCAAAATTTCAGTGAAAGGATGTAGAAATAGAATATCAGTTCTTACTTTCCATTGCCAATGAAATCATCATAAGTCAAGGTATTGCTATTCCAAACCGCAACGCTTATCTCTCTAAGCCCTTCAATCAGGGAGAACACAAACTTTTCTTGGAATGTTGGGTTTTTTCCACCATCTAAAACCAATCAAAACCACAACAAAGTCCAAAGGGGTTTTCACTTACATCCCAAATTACACTCAACAAATAAAAATTTTTCTTAAAAAAGCCAGATCTGCAACATGAGCAAATGCCGAATAGACAACAAAAATCACAAAAAAGAAGAAAAGGGAGTACCAGTGCAAGTTCTAGTACGAAATTTGCTGCTGCCATATTCTAGGCAGACATACGGATCCTGCCTAGAAATCCATTCTGTATCCTTCAATTTATTACACCCGACAACTACAACGGAGAATCCAAAGCCAAAACAACAAGAAACAACCTTCTATTAGAAATCAAAAAACATGGGTGTTGGAATTTCCAAGGCTTTCATCAATTTCAGTTGTGAATTCAAAACAAAACAGAGGGTGAAAGTAAATAGAAGTATGGATGCATACCCGTGACCTCAAGAAGCTGGCCTTGAATACCCGAAATCGACATCGAAGATGAAAAAGATATGGTATGTCAAGGTAGCACCTCTGCTCAGAATTGGTAGTTTGACCACGTGTTAAGGTCTTTCGCTACCCTTTTAAATGGGCCAAGGTACAAAAAGGCTTGGTCCTGGTTGGTTGGCAATAATGCAATGATATAACACCTTCGCATATTCGTTGGCCTTTTTACAACGTTACAAAGAAGAAAATTTGGAATTCTCTCGCGCCGATCGTTCGTTCTGCTCCTCGTTTCTCGTGCATAAACGTTTTCCTCGCCCCGTCAACCTTCCGATCAATATTTAAATGTTGTCAGGGTCAACTCACAATCCATTCAAAAAGCAAATTTCAAGGAAGTGTTGCAAAGTCTTAAGAACGGAAGTCGTTATGCTCATTTGTTAAGGCTAGTATTTGATTGATATTGGTAATTTTTTTTTTATCTAATTGTGTTCATTTAGAGGTATAATAAACACATTTTTTTATAATTAATTTATATCAAGAATTACAAAAATTATACATATTTGAAAGATGAGGCATGGTAGAGAAATTTTTTTAAAAAAATTCGGATTAACTTATACATATTTTGAGAGTAATCTTATATTAAGAGATTAATACTTTTTTAAAAACTCACGAACGGATGAGTGAGTGGGTAAGAGACTCTTTCAGTTAACCAGAAATCTTAGTTTCAAATTCTAAAAATACATCTCCGTTAAAATTTGTAAAGAAGAGTTTTGCGCTCATTAAGTTTTATCCAGTTTGAATCTAAATTAGTCGGTAATTCAGTTGGTTTTTGGATATCGGGTGATCCAACCAAAAAATTAATACGTTTCTGAGAAATATTAAGCAAGTTTGTTTCTCTTTAGGTGTATGTGTTTTCGTAAGAATCTAAACGCTCTTGCAAGCCAAACCGCTGGAATACGTTCGAGTTCGAGGATTGAGATACGACCATTTCAGTTTCATTTTCATTTTTCATAAAATAATGGACATTCGTAAGAATCTAAACGTTCTTGCAAGCCAACCCGCTGGAATACGTCCGAGTTCGAGGATTGAGATACGACCATTTCAGTTTCATTTTCATTTTCATAAAATAATGGACATTTATGCTTCTAGAAAAACATAGAGTTTTATGAAACCTACTTTTCTAATGCCACTTTTAACAAGTCAAAAAGTTTTTTGCTTTCCCTTGGATAACATTAAAAAGTTTAAAAGTTATAATCACAAATATATAAACGAAAGAAAGGTGTTCTGGGATATACTCATTGATCTATGTAAGAGATATTCTTTCAAATAGTGATTGATAATGATTCTTATTTTATAATCTATTTTACACAAAACATAAAACCTTTTACAATTTTATTTTGTGTTTAACAATTTAATCTTAAACACCAGTTTAGTTTCGTATCCACTCGCTCTAAAATATACCTTGCATTTTCAATGTACTTCATATTTCATTCACTAGTAGAAGTGTAGAACAATATAGCTTCCATTCTTTTAATTCACAACCTTATGCAACAATTACCAGCCACTGATTCACAGCATCAATAAGCTAGAACCAGACTTCTAAAATACAAATGAAACGAATAAGATTGAAAGTAACAGATTCGCCTATGGTATGTACAGATACTAATTCATAGTCCTCGAGTTCCAGCCATTTTACTCACTTTCATAGTCTTCATCATCTCCGAAAGTAAAAACAGATGCATCTGCTGCCATTGCCTTGAATTCACTTTCAGAATTGGAAACCTCAACCCCTGAGATAGCTTCCCCTTTGGCCTCTTTTTTTGGCTCACTGTTACTAGAATTAATCTGTTGTGAGCTTGTGTTTCCCATAGATAATTGTCCAGTAGTGTGCGTCAAGCCTGCAACTTTATCTGAATTAGTGTTGGTTTCAGATTTGGAGGTGGTTGAGGAGCTGTCTTTTTCCACAGTAGAAGCTGCATGGTTTTTCCGGCTCTTTGAAGCACCTTCTTCTGACTCGCTATCAGAGAAAACATCATCTTTGTCGTTATTTCCAGATCCAGACTCTTTATTTTGGTTTGAAGGGACTGCACCCCCATCAACAGGGGCAGTGTCACTGGCACCTGAGCTTTCATTGGGCTTATTGGGAGCAGTTTCAGGACTAGGCGTTGTTGGAAGAGTGCCATTATAATCTATTAATACAACCTCAACCTGGAAACCTGGTGATGGCAATTTTCTCTGCATATGGTGCATGCCAGAAGAAGATGAGTGAAAATACATATACATGGGGAAAAAATAGAGCAAGGTCATTGCCTTCTTTGTATTTTTTTTTGGAAGGGGGGGAGGGAGTCGGGTTGGGGAAGGCAGAGAGATAGGCCAATAAAATGGGGACAAGATTTGACTGCCCGTTGCCGTGCATAAAAAAAAAAAAAAAATCCTACATCTGCTGAAGAAAATTTAAATAAATGCTCCAAGTATCATCTCTTAATGGAATGTCTTCGTTTGGCAGATCTCATAATAACATGTATTAACATTTTTTCAAAAATAAGGTTTAACAATTTACCTTATCAAACCCATCAAGATCACTGGTATTCAGAAATTTTCTGTTTTCTATCATTGTTGTGTTTAACCAACTGAAATATCAAAAGACAAAATCACATAAGGATTAGTTACAATTTGGAAAAGGATATAAAGAGAGAAAGTCATCAGAGAGAAGACCAATCACAAACCAGTAGAAATCTCCTTGACCATCATGAAAATGGATTTTGAAGTCCCCAGCCAACTCAGTCAAACCAGGTTCACCTGGCAAGGCAAAGACCATAATCCCTTTCTTTGGTGCACTAAACCAGAAATCTTCCGGCTGCCAAGTAATTACATGCACAAAGAACCAAGTTCATTTAAGATTGAGTCGACTAGGAGCATTGAAAGGAGAAAATAGAGATGGGAAAATGTTAAAAATTAGTTGATAGCAAATGATCAAACAACATACTGAGAAATCCTTGGTTCGAGGATGCTTCTTTGTGGAGAACAGAACACCTGTGCACAAAGAAAGCACTTGAGAATTTTGAAGAACCTCCTGATATATTGAAGACTAAACTTAGTAATAATGTACTAGGTGTTCACAGGCCTCAAGCCTCTCGTATCTCCAGTGCTTGAGAACTATCCATTGTACCCAAAAAAATAAAAAGAAAGCATTTAAGTTCATGATGATTTAATTTGTACCTAAAGTTATAATTGTTGGTCCAATTAAACACAAAGGATGCCTCTTAAATTTCACTTTCATTCAAGGATCAGCAACTAGAATTACAGCATTACTGTACTCATGTACTTTCTACTAGAGCCTGCCACTCCAGACCCTATGATAACTCTCTATTAAAGCTTATCTAGTGATTTTAGGCATTCCATCACATAGATTTGAACATTTTTATTTTAAATAATGTCAAATACATCAATCCCACAGGCCACAGCCAAAAAGTCAAACATATCAAGGTTGTTTAGGGTTATAGGTAGAATAAGAAATTCAATACAGAAAGGAAGATATTCTATGCTCCAACTCCAAGTGTAATGAAAGGCTTAACAGTTAACAAGAAGGAATTATACAGCATATTGCCAATAAAAAATAAGAGAAAATATTTGCAGACAAAATGTAATCAATAGAATGGCTTATGTAAATGGGGACACATTGATATATGTTATAACCCATGTTTATGGCATGTACTGTCTCAGGCACAAAGCAAAATGTAATTTTAACATGGAAAGATGTCAAACCATCATGATCAGAGACAGTGATAGAAGGCCTGATCCAGAAAGGGCAATGGTGAAGCCGAAATCCTCTAAGCATGCACCTGCATAGAATGCAACATCAACACAAGCCGGAAAATCAAAATTACCATATGAATGATAAGTAGCCAGTAAAATACCTGCGTCCAGGCTGGTTAACACCATTGAAGTATGTTAAGATGCGCTCGAAATACTTGACATATCTCTACATAAAGTAGTTGGGTGGAAGTCAGATAAAACATATAGAAACTTAAGAAAGAAAGAAAGCTGAATGCCTTCGGATAATATCTCTCACAATTTGGCTTGGAAGAACAAGCCCCTTTCCATCAACACATCTTTTTCGGTTGTAGTAATCAATTGACTCTTCAGCCGTTGGAAAGAACTGCAGTGAGACAGCAAATAAGGAAGAAAACAAACTGTGAGGTCAAGCCGTTTGTGAGAATATACAAATTTCAGTGGCATATCTTTTAGGAAGATATTACACAGATCCAACCTTCAAGTATAGAAGAAGGCTAGAAATCATCAATCCTGTCCTGGCCATCCCAGCTTTACAGTGCACAACCACTACATTCTCAATATCCTCCTTCAACCAGGAGTAAGCACTTTGACAAAAGGATATTATCAGTTGAATTGGAGGGCAATTATGGTCATCAAATGGGAAACTAGCAACCTGAAGATGAAGTTTAATTCATCAAATATTAAAAAAAAAAGAAAAAAAGCCATCACAAATTCATTCCAAGTTTAATAATTCAGAACATAAACATTAGCAGGTATCAAAGTCTGGACAGTTATAGAGTACAAATGCAGTATTTCCAGTTTTGAACAATTTTCATTATGTAAACCATCAAAGAAAACATAGCCAGTAAAGTTGTGCACCAAACTTTTAGCATAGAGGGGCTAAAGTTCATTCTCATGTCTTCTTGCAAATAAGCCTATTTTCAAGCAACTTATGAGAGTAGAGACAAATTGATAACTTGAAGTTTTGAGCCCCACTTAGCTAGAAGTTAAAGGAGTTCACATTTTTCCAGAGCTTAGTCAAGGCATCCAATCTCAAAGGCTCAGACCAATTACAACAGTGGAGAGGCCCAACTTAAATAAGGCACAGGATAAAAGCAATCTGATTGTTGTTTGACAGATAGATGGAACTAACCAAACTAAAAATACAATGAGTATCATTATAATATATTTCAGAAAATTTGGTAGCATGACAGGTAAGATCGCATGGTTAGTGGTTGATTGCATTAAATATGACAAGGACACTTTGATTAAACATTTCTTATTTACTGCAAGTTAGCAGCATAGTTTCAAAGCAAATTTTCTATTTTCTAATGATTTTCTAGAGCAGTAAAATTTGACAACACACATCTTGATTACAAAGTTTCAAGCTATGTTTAGGTCAGACAATGATTCAAGCAACAGCTTTCCAAGTTTCCGTTACGTAACTCAAAAAATTCATTTCTGTACATCTAGCATTAGTTTTAGACAGTCTAGCACCAAGCCAACACTTCACATTATTCCAAATTCAGAATTTAATTATGTCATAGTTCAGTACCATCACCAGTACTTCCATCCTACAGTATGCAGGCATTAACTGGAAACCAAAATCAGCAATCATTACTCAAAAATCAGGGTCAAAGTTTACTCTTCCATGGTCATTAACCTGTCCCAATAGACTTCCAGTACACATAATTTACTCAATCTTAAATTGAAAGTCCTGCTGTTTTATCAGAACAAAGATAAGCTTTTTGACTTTATACCCCTTTCTGCAATTTAAAAATAATAATAATCATAATAATAATCTATAACAGTTTTTAATGTAAGAAGGTTTAAAAGGAAAAAAAATCAAATACAAAGATTACAAGAGTGACATTCATTTTGAGCCATAATGAGAAAATGGTGGGGCAGCCAATCTGGTAAAACTAGTGTAATGAGAATCCTAGGGCTAATTTCATCATTTTAGGATACAGTTATTTTTGTTTATGACTTCTTTTATGATGTAGAACCCACCCCACGGGGAGTTTAGATCTTATCTCAACCTGGTGTGAAGAGATCCAAATGCCATCTATTAGCAAAACCATGCAATAGACTAACTGTAAAAACAACCAGCTCAATGAAACAAGTCTTGCCAAAATTTGCCTTTTCAACAGATAATAAACCAATAAGCATACCTTTCCTTCAAATAAAGAAGCATCATATAGCCTCTCTGAACAAAGGTTATACACCTTGTACTTGCCCTACACATAAAAGGTTGACAGGAATTAGGACAGGATGGTCCATCCATTGCAGT